TTTCTTTTCCAATGAAATAATGTTTCATCTTTTCACAAAATTTTGTTTCAATGCTTTAGAATATCAACTTCAGAGATACAAAACATTTATTTGTTATCCTGTCTTTGTCTTTCTTATTAGTTGACTTCCATCCAATTGCTTGTATCGATTTTCCTTTTTTCATTCCCTATGATGGTCTTAAACCTTTCCCTTTTGCTGGTAAAGAGTTTCACTGGTATCTGTTATGCTTCCTGCTCTTTCTAATGAGTATTTTTGTTTTATAATTATGATTTTTTTTTCATTTCCAACTTGTTTCCCTAGATATAAAATATTCTTTTCCCCTCATGTTATTGTGTTATCATATCATCTTTGAGCTCTTGTTTTGTGGAATTCACTTCTTTAAGGAGTTCTATTTGTGAGGAACAATTATTAGACTATTCCATGGCTTCAGTAAACTGATGATTTCTTCTTGGTGGAACATCTAAGATTAGTTGGAGAAGGATATTCCATTGGAAAAAAACAAAAAACAAAAAAACTGTGGATCATTTTCCCAAATTAGAGTGTTGCTCTGACACCTTCATTTCTCCAGAGAGGCAGTGTTTGTTCACCATCCTCCATTTCACTAGTTTCTTTTCCAGAATCATTTCTACTACTTCTCACTCACGAGAAATAACAACAACAAAAGCTGAGGATATCAACTCAGTTTGCTTCTCTTCAGAATTAAGAATGTTAGAATTTTCAGGAAGTTGTCATCTTGACAGTAAAATTCTAAGGAGGTCTGGGATGCAGGCCCTGTGAGGGTTCCCTGTTTGGATCAAAAACCCACACCTCCATTTTTCCCTTGACTATTAGTTTCTGAAATATGTTAGATCATATCATTTTCTGTACTCCTTTAATGCTGACGTGTGTGTGTGTGTGTGTGTGTGTGTGTGTGTGTGTAGGGTGAGTGTTTGCCAGCTTATACCATTTTAGAATCACTTCATTATCTATCAGTGGTGAGAAACTATATAGTACATTTTCAAATTTCTCATTTTCAAAATCAAAATCCTCATTTTTATATTCAGAATTTGGGCTTATTTTAGTCTTCTAAGGGATATTATTGAATTTTCTTGCTTAATGGACATAACAATTATTCCACTGGTGTCATCCACAGAAATAAAAAATACTCATTCTTATCCCCAGCCTCAATGGGCCTATTTATAAATAGCTTTTTGATCACTACCTATCAGATAGTCAAATTGATAACAGCCTTGTAAGTGAAGATAACTTGAGTTAGAGAACAGCAAAACAGTAATTATGGGAAATACCAGAAGTGATTCTTGACATGACAGGAGCATTTCACAGACTTACATTTTCATAATTAGATTCTGCTTTCCAAGTAGACATAAATGGCTACTGAATCTAAAATGTTCCTTTCCCCTCGACAATGCACACCAAAGGAAAAAAAAAGATTCTGAAAGGGTGAAGATATGTTTTCCATAAAAGAAATTCAGGATTTAGATTTAAATCCTTTTCTTTTATACCCTAAAATAAGAATACATAGAAAAAATATGAGTTTTCCTTATTTTAAATGTATTTTACATTAATGCTGTATAAACTCTAGGAAATTCTTTTATAGTAATAGTTCCAATATTGTCTGGACAGCTCTGCTGTCCAACATGTTAGGCAACATGCCTGGCAACAGGAGAACACCCCAAATTGTGCCAGCTACTGCTAAGTGACCTGAGTCAATATTTGTACATGCTTCAGTTTCTACCACAGTTATCACTTCTATTGGCCCACACAAGCCACAAAGGTAGAGACTGACCTAGCAAAATGTGTCACTCATAATGAATTTCAAGATTCAATATTAATGAATTTTTTAACTAAAAACACATTAGCAGACTATATTCCAGAACCTAGTTCTACCTAAAATGTCTTGCCTAGCTGAGTCAATATTAGGAAAAAATGGAACCATATTAAATACTTGCAATTCAACAGTATATAAAGAACTCTGAAGAAAATCATCTTTATTAATGCATAGTATCCAGTTTAACTAAAATAGCAAATGGGAACCTCAGAGCAATAGCTAACAATAAAACAAAGCTTTTTAAAACAATTAATTCCAAGGAATCTGCTATTGGGGTTTTACTGTACAATTACGTATTCTGCAAATTTTTTGCCTTTGATTATTATGTAATGAGACATTTTACAGGACACACGTACATGCATGCGCGCGTACACACACACACACATTACTCTGATTTACAGTCAAAATTTGCACATGGAAAGGACTAGTTCTTACCAGACCAGGATAACCAAAACAGAAGCCGAGGTATCAGATAACTAAAGAGAACTTACTATCAAAACAAAACATCATTGTTCCAAGTGACATACAATCAGATTCATCTATCTAGCTTGTTCAGCAAGACAGAGCATGGTGTTGAAGAGCTAGAAACTCAGGTTCATTCACTAAAAATAGTTATAATAACAGTGAGTTGCACTTTAATAACATGTTGTTACATTTGAACCTCATAAGAATGCCAAGAGATAAACAAGAGGACATCAATATTGCTTAGTTTACAGATGAGTAACCAGTTACACAACTGGCTAGTAGCAGAGCTCTTGCTAGAACACAGAGCTCTTGACTCTTACAACAGTGTTTTCTCCACTATTCTGCGCGGCTACCAGATCTCTCTTTCAGATCCAAAGACTCCAACCATTCCTATGCATATCAATCACATCCATGCCCTGGGCCAAAAGGGAGTGGAATGAAATTTATATATAAATTAAGACAAACACACCCCAAATTTAACAATTAATTTAAAGGAAAATCCTACTGAAATGGGTTACTAGGATCACCATCACTTCCTCCTATCTCTACATCTGTGATTCTCAAAGTTCACTGCACCTGAGGTTTGATCATAAGATTTTAAAAAATTCAAATATCCAGGCTAGTTCACATACCAATTAAATCAGAAATTCTGGAGGTGTGACCAAGGCATGAGTATTTTGTAAAATATTCTTGAGGACTCCAAATTTGAGAGTCAGTGCCTCAGAGGAAGTATATAATAAAGACTAGAGGAATTTACATTTAAGGCCACATTATATTAAACAAAGCCAAAAGTTACACAATATGGTAGCACAGTTGCAAATTATTGCATGTTTCAAATTTTTAAAATAAACAGAACCTGGAGTTTCCTTATTTATACCAGACAGGTTTGGGAGTTGATGTCAATCTACATCACTTTTCATGTACTAGTTGGTGCTCAAAGGATGCTTCTCTTCCTGTAGAACTGACAATAGCATGGACAGTCTCAAGCACTTCGCTGCTTGAAAATATTATTGCTTTAACGTCAGGAAAATGACCATCTCAACTGAAAAATGGAATAAAGTTACATGCGATTACCAAACACACTGAAAACAGTGAGGCTTGCAAACACCTGTAGCCTGTGGCAAGAGATTCGATGTCAGCAGCCTGTGGCTGCTTAAAAGGCACAGCTTTGTTTCAACCATGTTAAAGAAACATTAAACTTGTAACACAGAGGTAAGGACTGAAAAGATAAGTGTAGTACTGAAAAGATACCTAAAATAGTTATTTTTTAAAAGTCAATTCATCTTTAGAAAACAAAATGCTAAATTAAGTGACCAGTTCCATGTGAGACACATCAGCTGACCCTTCCCCAAGCTCTTGTCAACTTTACAGCCACAAAGATAATAGAAGGTAATAAACCGTATTAAAATTCTAGTACGTTTACTTCAGATAAGCAGACACTACTAATTAATATAATTCCTGTCACGTAAGTGTAAACATATCAAATTACACAAACTTGATCTCTTATTCTGAGTCCATGAAAAAAATCGGGTCAAGAGAAGTATCTGAAAATCATCACAACTAACGGAAGTTAAAAAAAAAAAAAAAAAAAAAAAAAAAAAAAAAACTTGGTTCAGACGTAGATCTGTCAATGGGAAGGTGTTGAGCACTGAAACTGACATCGTGCCAACCTGTGGAATATTTCTTCACATCTAGCTCTACCAAGTAAACGCTGCTCGATGGTACATTCTTTTCATGGGAGTCTACATGGTGATCTAGAATTCCGATTAAGCCCACATAGGAACTTAGGAGATGTAAGGGAGAAGTTTAAGCCAATTCAGGCGGAAGTGTTCCGAAGAGGACGGAAATAAAAAGCCCCCAAGCTTTAGGAACCGGCTGTGGGATTAAATGTGAGGAGCAACGATTACAACTAAGTGATATTGCCCGGAGAGTCTGCTCTTTTCACAAACAGAAATTGATCAAGCTGACAAGCTTGATCTCCTCAGCACATCGCCTTGAAGGCACAAGTACAGACGCTGAGAAACTAGAATCCGGTACTGTTATTCTCTTAAGGGTTGCACCTGCATGTAACACCTTTATGTGTGTCTTATGCCATCCATCTGCCTGACAATGCTAGACTCTGCAAATGTTTTTAAAGAAAATTAAAATAACCATCTGCTAATAATAATTTTTCTTCCATCCTAAATAGTTTCATTTTGGGCTGATGAGAAAAAGCCACATCAAAAACTACCTTTGCAACTCTTAACAAACACATTTCAGAAGGTAGGTCTATAAATAGATGTGCTTCTGGATGCACCCCATAAATATAAAATCATCGGGCTATTGCAGGCTGCAATTTAAACTGAAGCTCCAGTATGAACTTACCTGATTTTTAAAGTCCCATTAGAATAGCTTGCAATCAGTACAGATCTCCTTCTTCTAGTTGCATAGTAAGGCAAAGCACCCCCAACTACATTTCACTTATCTCAGTCCCATCCTTCATCAGAAGCTTTGAGATTTCATTCAGAAGCTGTCGTCCCTAAACACTGAATATGCACAAAAACGGTAATGGCAGGGATCTAAGTTAAACCCTACAGACGCACCAAGAAAATAGCAACATCAACATCAAAAAGCAGCAAATCCTTGAGAGGTGCTTTTTCTTAGCTGCATTTACCAAGTCAGCCTCCTTTCACACATAAAATGTCTCAGTTATGGAAGAGGATCTTACCTGAGCTGATCATACTGTGCATTCTCTGCTGAGCCAAGAGCTGCTCTCGTCCAGCCACCCCATCTGAGGAAAAACACGAGTCACTCTCGTAAATTGTCTGCAGCATATTCCAATCACTCTTACTTCAGCTCCATGAAAGATTCATCGCGGCTCAGTGCAGGGGCCCCAGGAGCTACCCTCCCTGGTCCTCCCTCCTCCCGGAGGAGAGGCAGCAGCCGACCAACTTCAACAATGATTTCCTTTCTGTTAAGGTGGACATACACTTTTTTTAAAAAGATCTGGACACTTTTCCTATGTTACCAACCTGTGTACAGAGCAGAAAGGACTGTGGGGATGCTATGGCTCTCTGGAGTTTAGGTGATCCCGGAAACTAAAAGCAGGTGGGAAATAGTAATGTGCTTCGGGGTTATTGCTTTGTCAGAGTAAGTAGAAAAATATTAACTCTACCCACAAGAAAAAGAAACCAATTAAACCTGGCTTATAGTTCTCCGGGCTGCTAGAGTTTTGTGGCTAGAAGCCCCAAGAAGCCCCAGTCCTGCAAGTGGCCGATGCCCTTCTATCTGTTTGTGTATGTCTCTTCCCCCTCTCTGGTCTCTCTCAGCTCAAGTTGGCTAAAGCTAGTGATAATCCATTTGCATATGAATCAACAACGGCAGGGCCCACAGGCACAGAAATAGAACAATGGTCGGCCTGAGCCAAAAATAGGTCAAGCATGGCCGAGTGATTGGAGCCTGCATTAATGCATTTAAAAATACCCCAGCAAACCCAGCTGTCCAGCCTCTATCTTTCAAACCATAATTCTCTATTGCAGGGCCTTAAAAGCAATTAACTCTTTCCTCCCTCTCAGCTTGCTTTTTACACACTGTATTTCCATACTGGCGATTCGCCTCCAAAGAAAGGAAGGAAAAAAAAATTAAGAATCATAATTCTAAGAGGGCAAATGCACATACATTTAATTTCATTTTATTTTTATAGTATGTGTTTTTGGAAGAGAGAGGAGAGAAGTGCAGAGCTCTGTATTGGTTCTAAAATAATACTGGAAGCTTTTGCTCATAATGTGGTTTCTGCCTCACCCACGCACAGCAATCCTGGTGTTCTATTTTTGTTGCCTGTTTCTCTGGCTACACTGCAGTTGGCTGTAGCACTAGAAGCTTTTCTGCCTTCTAGTTTCAAGACTGACAGGAGATTTAGTAGAGGTAGTTTGAGAAAACAAGCACACCCCAGAATAAAATGTTTATGAAGAACTAGTTTGATTTTTTACTTGCTATTTATGAAATGTCCATTTCACAAATCCTAATGTGATCATCTTACCACCACCTATCAATTTTATTGCATCCAGTTTCTATTATATCAAATTAAAAAGAAAACACAGCTCAGATCTGAAAATGTTACCTCTATTTCAGCCTCTCGGGATAAATTCAATGTGGGAAAAAAAAAAAGGAAAAGAAAATGTTGATGCTGTCTAATGGATGGATGCAGAACCACTGAATAGATGCACCTGTCGATCAACCAATAAACATGGTCAGTCCCCAATTAGGAATATTCTGCATTCATCTCTACCTGAAACAGAGACCCCATTTTGCTATAGAAATAGCATTTATAATAGTTGATAGGCTCCCAGCCAACTCACACTGTGAAATTCACCTGTAGAGCAAAAGAACTGTACTATATATAATGCTAAACATGATACAGTCTCTGGTGTACACTTTTAACATCATTTCTATATGAGAAATAAATTCTGCATCACTAACTGGATTGTAGCATCTAGCCACTCCCAAGGGCACGCCCAAAAGTGATAATCCGCTAGTCCTGAGACCTCTTCTCACTTTTCTAAACTAGATCAGCAAGGAAAATGTAATTTTTAACATATTAGTAGCGACAGAGAAGGAAAGGGAAAAAGCGGAATGTTTCAAGGTTCCCAGAACAATCAGATGGAGGAAGGATCTTGGTCAACCCAGAGTGCGGGGCAGGGAAAACAGAACAAGGAGATGTAGTTTTGGTGGAAAGGAGGAAGCATCTAAGTCATTAGGCAGATAACTCACTGCTGAAGAAAGTGGCACTGAATCTTCCTTCTTTCATAGATTAACTTCTACCTCTTGAAAAATTATTTTCAGACCAATAAGTTATAAGATTATTTATTTATTTTTTAATAATAAATTTATTTTTCATTGATGTTCAATTTGCCGACATACAGAATAACACCCAGTGCTCATCCCGTCAAGTGCCCCCCTCAGTGCCCGTCACCCATTCACCCCCACCCCCCGCCCTCCTCCCCTTCCACCACCCCTAGTTCATTTCCCAGAGTTAGGAGTCTTCATGTTCTGTCTCCCTTTCTGATATTTCCTACCCATTTCTTCTCCCTTCCCTTCTATTCCCTTTCACTATTTATATTCCCCAAATGAATGAGACCATATAATGTTTGTCCTTCTCCGATTATTTATTTTTAAAGATTTTATTTATTTATTCATGAAAGACACAGAGAGAGACACAGAGAGAGAGGCAGAGACACAGGCAGAGGGAGAAGCAGGCTCCATACAGGGAGCCTGATGAGGGACTCGATCCCGCGTCTCCAGGATCAGGCCCTGGGCCAAAGGCAGGCCCCAAGATTTTTTAAAAAGGAATTATTCCAAAGTGCGTGTGACTTATGTTAAAAAAGAAAATCTTATGTTTCTGTCATTCAAAAAAATATTTAATTCCACTTGATATTGCAAACTTTCACTCAGTTAAGAAATCAGTATATAAAACTCAAGAGATGGAAAGATTGTGGTAGCAACTTAGCTCAGGGATGATGGAACCGAGCATAGCATTGTAGACCTAGGAGGAAATTTAGAGTTTGCTACAATGGTGTTCAAACTCTCTGCCCCTCAGGATGCCTTGGGACCTGGGAGTTGACTCACAGTGTTCTTCAGAAAGGGCTCTTCCCCTAAACCAGGGCAACCTCATTTTTATTTGTTTATACCGGAATGTGGAAGAGTTCTTTTGAATAACAGCTTCTTACACTAAGGAGAAAATAGTTGAAATACACTCATTTAGGACAAACAAGCTCCCTATTTTACACACAAAGAAAGTACAAAAGGTGTGTTGAAGGTTACTCAAGCTAGGAAAACACCTGTTAATGAAATTCTGACTAAGGAGACTTGCTTCATCTCTGGCAGGTGGTCTCTAATGCAGCAGGCTTCCCATCACATTCTCGAGTCTGCCATCCTGTCCCTCACTAAAATGATGTAAATAATTATCTCAGATATTTGGAATAAATTTTAACATGATCTAATGATGAAAAATGGAACCACCAAAAGTTTCAGAGTGGTTTTGAACAGAATATGCAAAACGAGTGATAAACATGTAACAGGGATAACACAATCCCACTAATGACATAATATACATCTTTGTCATTTTAAAGTTAAATTATACCCTCAAACTGCAATTAAGAAAAATAGCCTCCCAGCTTTTATCATCACAAAAAATAAAAGAAAACCCCGAAAGAGTTCATTATTATACCGTTTCTCAGAGGTTCCAGGAAAAGGCATTTCACATAAAATAGTGTAATGTGTCTTCTTCATGTTGACCAAGTTACTCTACTTGAGATTTATTTACATTTCATCCCTGCATTCTTTCAGTGTTTCCACACACCCCCCCCCCCTCAGTAGCAGTCTTGTCTTTCAGCTCTTAACAAGGAAAAGATAGTTTAGAGTGAGAAGACTTTGGACACATCATAAAATAGGTATCACTTGCTTCTCAGAGGAAAAATAACTATCATTAAAATCATCACCAAGTATATTGATTATCATGGTTCTATTAACAACAACTTAAACATTAAGACTGCTGTATAATTCTTCTCACGTGATCTCAACAATGTCAGTAAAAAAATGTCACTAAGTTTCTTTTTGGGCATTTATAAATAACTAGTTTTACTGACTTGGAAAAAAAAGATATTAAGTTCTATATTATAAAAACTGTAACAAATGCCAGGCTAGAGTAAACAGGCATTTTTAAAAAATCTCAATATAATAAATGTTAATTCAAGTTAATGAAAATGTTGATCTAAAAATTGATCTTAAAATCATTTTACATTCATCCAATAAACTATAATATTATCTACTGATAAAAAATGAAACCACTGTCTAATAGTTTGAGTGTTTTTTTTTTTAAAACAGATTTTATTTATTTATTCATGACAGACATAGAGAGAGAGGCAGAGACACAAACAGAGGGAGAAACAGGCTCCATGCCGGGAGCCCGACACGGGACTCGATCCTGGCATTCCAGGATCACGCCCTGGGCCAAAGGCAGGCGCCAAACCGCTGAGCCACCCAGGGATCCCCTATTTCTGACTGGTTTTAAAGAAAATATGCGAAACTAGTGATAAACACATGAGGGATACCAAAATGTCATTCAAAAGTAATTATAATTCCAATTCTTTTTATGCAAACGTATAGGCAAAACAAAGAGGTGTATTAAAAAATCTACTTATATGGCATCAAAATATTTCCAGAAATATCCTCAGACCCCTAGCTCACAATGACCTTTTCTCAAATCAGTCTTAGATGATTACTACAGACCCACTGAAAAGAAGCAAAGAAAGTAGAGTAACCTGATTTATGCTAAAACAAGGTACCCTCTGCTCATCTGTAATCAAACACAGTACCATTTTTCATGCAGTACCAAATCCTATGATTCCAGAATCTAGATGCACTAAGATTTTAAAACTTGTTTGCCTAAAATATTAATTTTGCTTTATAGGAAAACTACAAGTTACTCATCAATACCTGGAACTCCTCACTGGTTCCCTGATTCACTCATATTGCTTCTCCCATCCTCACATGTCTCTAACTATTGTCACAGCAATAAAGTTACACATATTTGCCAAGGAACAGGAAAAACAGAGTACAGTGTACTCCTTTTTATTTCAAATTCAAGGAGCTTATTTATCTGAATTTTCTGTCTCTTAGAGGAACATCGCCAATTCTTATTAAACAGTGGATATTTAATTTACAAGTGATTCCTCTCCACCGAAACAACCTAATTGGTTATCTAGTGGTCTTCTGGTCAGGAAACCTTGTCTG